GCCATGCATTTGCGCGCACAACCACCTCCATGAAGCATGGATCTCGACGACGAGTTTGGTGACGATATTCTGGATGATCTCAACGACTCCACCCTCCAAGAACTCGAGAACAATGCCCTTCTGTTGACGCAGACGCGGAGGGCGCCCGACCAGCCCTTGTTGACGAAGCCTGCTGCAGCCCCCCAGCACACCACCAACGATTATGCCTGGGACGAAGACGAAGACCTTGATCATTCCGAGGTGATCAACGACGGCGGCGAGCCCGTTGGCCATCGCCCCATCACGAGCAGCCTCCAGCAGTGGCAGCACGCCCGCCGCCCTGCTCCTCCCCGGCCGAGCCCGCAATGGAATAATGCCATCGACCCTGCGAGACGGGGCGGCGCTGGTCTCCCCCAGCGTCAAGCGCACCCCGGCGTTGGAGGGCTCAGCCAGCAGGCTGGACTTGGTGCTGGGCCATTGCAGCGGCCTCAGTATCCGCAGCCTTCTCCCGGCATCAATCGGCCGCTACAGTCGAGCCAGTTCGCGAAACCGTCGATCCCGCCACCGAACCGTCCCATCTCTTCCCAGCAGGGCCAGCCGAATGGCAACGCATTCGCCGCGTTGCAGCAGCGAGTCCGGGCGTTGGAGTCCGAGCTGAACGCTGCTCGTGGCGAGGCTGCCATAATCCGCGCCAAGGCCAATAAAGCAGACCAGGAGCATTATGACGAGGTGGCTCGTCTTCGGAAAGTCAACGAGGAGCACGCAGCCCGCCAAGCACGCCTGGTGGAGGAGGCTCTCGCCGCTGAGAAGCTTGCATTGGCCGCCGAGAAGTCTGCGAGCACCGAGCTGGAGTTCCTCCAGCAAGATATGAGGGAGGCCAACTCCAGAGCGAAGCAAAAGGATGTGACCTCTCGCGGGAAGCAGGCAGGAGTCGCCACAACACCCAAGAAGGCTGTCAAGACGTGGGGGCTTGCAGATGGATTTGAGGACGTGGAGATGGTGAGCCCTAGCAAAAGCCAGGGCCGTGGTAGACATACAGGCTCTATTGCCATTGACCTGGGGGAGAGGACACCAACAAAGGCGAAAAGGAAACGACCTATGGTTGACAGCCCCGTCATGGCCTTGGATACGCACACGGAGGAAGCACTCGCAGCCATGGACCAAGGACATGCAGCAACACCAGCAGACCCTCCGATGGCACAACCTAAACAGGACCAGAATCAAATACCCCAGGCCCCGTTTGAGTTTCTCCAGCTGATCCTTGATCATGCGGCCTTTCATGACGAACCTCCTACATTTGATGTTCTCTCCCGTTACACGTTCCCCACCGACCCGTCGACGACCTTGGCGACGTTGATCTTCCGAAAACTGCCTACCATGGGAAATCGTCACCAGCCAATGCAGCTCCTCGTGGACTTTGTGCAGACAATCACCGGTCTGTGGAGGGCCTGCGTCGAAGACTCATTCTGGGAACCCATCAAGTACCTCGTTGCTCTCGTCGAGTTTACCTTGCAACTGCATACGATTGATATCGCACCCCTAATTCTCCCAGCCCTCCTGCCATGCGCACAACCGAGCGTATTCAATCTGGCAGAACTGCGGCACAAGCTCCCCGAGGAGCAGCTCGCCAAGAGCGACGAATATCTGGCCCTCGCACAGAATATTGACAGCACCAAGATCTTGACGCTACTATATATTACCGCCCTGTCCTCTCTTACTTTGGAGATGCCGGAGGCGAGCGGGTTTCAGCCGAAGATTGTCGACTTTTGGCAACACCTAAATTTGGACACTGTGGCTGTTCTCCTGACACCTCGACAGCTGCCGCAGGATGTCATACTTATCCTTGACCTGCTGGCCACATCCTCGCTTCCAGACTCTATAGGCCCCATTACGCCTGAGAGAGAGCCACCCTTTGTTGCTGCTTTTGTCATGGAGCGCGTGTCCATCAAGCTGGTAGAATCAACACGATCCATCACCATCTCCGCCGAGGATAAACGAAAGATACGAATTGCTGCTTTACGGACGCTGATTGCATTTGCGCGCTATCCCTTTGGGGCAATGCAGCTTGCGTCCCACGACAATGTTATCCCAAGGATTGTTGCCTGCCTTAGTGGTGCCATTGACGATCTCTATGACCAAGACATGTCCTCTACGCTCGTTTCCCCCGACAACGATGACGATGACCTAGTTGAAGTCTCAACATCATCAACACAGCTGACTCGAATCATATCGCAATGTGTGATGTTGCTACACGCCCTCGTAACAGACCAGAATACTGCCAACGTGGTCAACATCAGCCAGAAACTATCTACATCGCATGGGGGGAGCCAGCGCTATCTGATTGCATTGGGGAGGCTGACATTCGCCGAGGAAGACCTGGTGATGGAGAGCGGTATTGAGAGCGAGATTGTCGAGGCTGCGCATGAGCTGTTGGAGATGGCCGTGACGCCGGACGAGGGCGAGCTAGTGAGCGAGGCTTTTGGATCATAATGGTGGTTTACTTTCTTGGGCTGAGCAGAAGAATCACGCTATTTGACATAATAATCGGGTATAATGTTTCCGTTGTTTGGAGCGGCCATGCATATAAACAAGTAGTGCTATTAATTGCTTCAAAAGGGATGCCGCCAGCCAGGCCAAACATGTCAAAAATGTCTGGCTGTCAGTAATATACAGATACTTTTTTCACAACACTCTCATCATCCCACCCACCGATCACTTCTATATCAAAGCACGCCTATTCATACAATTCATTCTTCGAGTCAAAGAGCGGCGACAGTGTCAGCCTAGTTGAAGCTGACATGTACATGATCCCTATCCAGAACAATCCGAATCAGCAAAGACGGCATTCATATCAAGCTGGGGAAAAGGGGCTCTGCCTACCAGTGGTTCTGGGTGATACTCTTACGGTCCTCCATGGTGCGCCAGTTCTTCCAGGCCGTCACCTTGTCCCGCGACGGGTTCCAGATCTTCTGGCCCCAGATGACATACTTGACATTGTTGGCAGAGGCGTGGTTCATGACCCATTCGGCGATGTCATCCCCAGAAAGAGTCGCCTGCTACAAAATTCCAACCTTGATCAGCTTACACGTAGTCCAAGGAAGAGAGAGTGAAGACTTACACCGCCGCCATCCGAAATCATAAAGTCAATCGCCTTGCCGCAGCAGTGCTCCGAGTCTCCAGGACACGCGCACTCCCTCTTACACCCAATCTCCCTCACCCTCCCCGGGAACTGCTTCACGACCGTCCTGGCCCCGTCAACGGCCACCTTCTGGCACGCGCCCACGGGCGGGATGATGGAGGTGTCCGCGTACCCGCCGAAGACGCTCCCTACTTTACTGCAGCACTTCATCTGACCTGGTCCCGGGCATAGGTTGGATGCCGAGGTGCCGCCGCAGTCCGAGGTCCAGTTGCACGCCGAGGCGTCGCCCTTGCACTTCGTCTTGGTGCAGCAGAGAATGTTGGAGCCGTCGGCCGGGCAGGCGCCCGTGGTCGTCGTGCCGCCGGACGCAGTGCAGTCTGACTTGGGGATGCAGACGCCTGCGAGGCCGGAGGGGCCGTAGCAGGGCTCGTTGACGGCCGCGAGGGCGAAGGGGAGGAGGAGGATGGGAAGCAACGAGAAGTGCATTTTTAAAAGTTCTATATGTCGTTTTGGGGAGGAGGCTGTCTTGGTTTGAACTGTTGATGTTGATGAGGGTTCGAGGTTGGGATCACACTCCCATTTATATACACCCATCACACATGATTACCTCCTGCGTCGACTCCTACGAGACACATTCTGCAGGTACACCCGCTCACTGGCCCATCCTTCAAGTTTAGATGACAATATGGGCCCTTTGGACGATTTTCAGCTGAAGATTAAGCATGACGGTCGTGGATTCTAGCGGCGTCACGGCAGTTTCAGGATGTGTGGGGAAAGGAAGAATGCGAGAAACACGGGCGGCGAGCTTTGCCCCTGTTGCAGGGCTGAACCGAATCCTTCTAGCGTCGAGCTTGCAAAAATGTAATACATTGTCCAATATATGACCTGAAGGATGCTTGCTTACCGTCCGCAGACTGCCTCTCTCGAGTCAATTGACAAGGTTGAACAATCCACAACTAAGACGGACCAGATGGACTTCATCCCGTATGTACGACAGCTACGAGAGCCTGCTTCACCAGCAGCATGACACAGCTCGCAGCGATCGCACCCTTGTCGGCGTTTTAAGGCAGTTCAGCTCTCGCCGATCAAAGACTGCCCCCTGCATAATGGTGCAGCTGGTGGTCCGACTGCAACGTGGAGACAGAGGGTAAGGCGTTCTCTGTGTATGTTAGACTTGCGAGCATGATTCCGGGATTTGCTTTAATTGAAACTAGGTTTGACTGAGCTGCCCGTTTGGGGAAGCTGTACGAAGCTGATAAAGGTGAGCTATACCACAGCTGCTTGCCACGCTCGTGAAACAATATCCTTACCCCTCCCACTACTATCGTGTGGTAAAGCGAGTAAGGGTGGACGGAAGAGAGGACAGAACATGCGTATACAGGGAAGTTGCAAATGAAGGGATTCAAACAATGCCGGGTGCCAGTAGGATGTAGTGGAGGGAAGGGGAGAGCAAGAGTCGTCACGTTGAGCGGGCCAGTTTAGTGTACAAAACAAGCTTAACATTATGAGGATACTACTCTCATCTTCTCTAAATACCACTACCACCCTTCTTTCAAATAACAAAGGAACGAGACCTTGAAGCTTCAATCACCACCTGTTCCAGACAGAAATATGGAACAAAACAAAGTAGAGCTAGCTAATAAGAACGGGGAATACAATTACATGGAGGTGATGAGGCCAGGACATGAAAAATGACAACCTGATACTTCAATCTGGTCAACCTAGAATGACCCGACGCAGAGTCACTACCTCTGCGGCCCTCCTCAGCCCCGTTTCGCCAGCGCCATTTCGGGCGCCGGGTACACAAGGGGTAGGAAAGGGCCTCGTGGGATTCTAGCCTTCCTAACAACTCTCTCCTATGCTTCAATATTTTCCATCTTGATTAGATTCTAAAGAGCCTGGGCGTAGTGGCAGCGGGCTTCAGAAGATTTCCGAGGAGACCCCCAACTGCGCCGCCGACGGTGCCAAGAGCATTGCCAGTCTGAGTGACGACGTTGTTCAGCGTGCTCTTGCCGTCAAGGGTGCAGGCAAGTGATCCAAGGATACCAGTGCATGCCGAGGTGAGTGGGCTCGCAATCTGGCCGGCGGCTTGCGCGATGGTGGTAGCAGCTTGGGTGGCTTGACCGACGTTGCCCAGAGTGCCCGCCAAGGGGCTGGCCGGGATACTTGGAGTTGACGGAGCCAAGCTGCTAATGATGTTAGAAAGCGTAGGCCCGAGGCTTGGAAGGAGGTTTGGCAAGGTAGTGTCCGGGATCGAAACCAATGGAAGGGTTGGTGGTGCGGGAATACTGGGAGTGACAGTAAGGCCACCGAGGCCTCCGAGAAGGTCTGCAAGCGTAGGCGTTTGGAGTTGGATGCTGATGTCATTCAATGAAGGGACACCCAACGAAGGGAGGGTCAAATCGGGGAGGGTCAGGTCAGGAAGGCTTAGGTTGGGGATATTGGCAAGGGCGCTGGCCAGACCCAGGTTGCTGGCTGGGTTGCTGGCGAGATCGAGAAGAGCACTTGCCAAGCTGGGGAGTGCATTGGTCAGATCAGGAATGACAGGGGTCAGGGTGCTACCCAGATTGTTGATAACATCTGCGAGGCCAGGAACTACGTTGTTCAAGCTATTGCTCAGATCGGGGATAGTGTTTCCAACGGTAGGGATGATGGTGTCGATACCATTGCCCAAGTTGCCGAGGGCATCACCAAGGCTGGGGGCAAGGCCTCCAAGCGTGCCAATGAGATCAGGAATGTTGCCCAAAGTGTTGCCAAGATCGGGAACCACGTTTCCAAGGGTGTTGCCGAGATCATTGGTGAGATCGGGTAAACCATTGCCCAAAGTGCTGCCAAGATCAGGAACCACATTGCCCAAGGTGTTACCCAGAGTGTTGGTGAGGTCAGGTACGCCATTGCCCAAAATGCCGGTAAGATCTGGAAGGCCGTTGCCCAAGGTGTTACCCAGAGTGTTGCCAAGATTAGGAACGCCATTGCCTAGAATGCTGTCAAGATCAGGAACACCATTGTCCAGAATGTCGGTCAGGTCTGGAAGGCCGTTGCCAAGGGTATTGCCCAATGTGTTGGTCAAGTCTGGGAGAATGCCCCCAAGGGTACCAGTGAGGTCGGGAATGTTACCGAGGGTGCTGCCCAGGCCAGGCAACAAAGTGCTCAACGCGTCACCCAGGTCAGGAAAGACTGAACTCAGATCAGGGATCGTGACGCTAGGGAGGAGCGTGGAAGGGTCGGGGACAACACCCGTAAGACCATTGAGCAGGTCTCCAAGGCCAGAACCAAGAGTTCCAACGGGGTCAATTAGACTAGGAATCAGAGTGCTCAGATCAGGGAGACCCAGGTTTGGAAGCTCGTTGTTCAGGAGGGATCCCAGGGTGTTTGTGAGGTCGTCAGCCGTGTTGCCAAGTGGATCAGTAACTCCTCCAACGGTGTTGCCCAGAATGTTGCCAAGATCAGGAACTCCATTGCCCAGGGTATTACCCAGAATGTTGCCCAGGGTATTTGTCAAGTCATCGACATTGTTACCAAGAGTGTTGGTTAAATCAGGGACGGTGTTGCCCAGGCCACTTCCTAGGTTGAGAAGATCATCAAGAGTGTTCGTCAAGTCTGGAACAGTGTTGCCCAAGGTGTTGCCCAAGTCGGGGACATTGTTGAGGTCATTTCCAAGGACATTGCCGAGCTGACCCGCAATGCCAGGAACAATGTTTCCAAGGAGGCTTCCGAGGTCGGGCAGGCCGAGGTTGTCAAGAGGCAGAGTGCCGGGAAGGTCAGGGAGAGTCGGTGTGGTTGGGATGGTGCCCGCATCGGGCAATGTAGGCACTGAGCCACCCAATCCTCCAAGGAGGTTGTCGAGAAGACCGGCAACACCAGTGAGGAGTTGGGGAACACCAAGAGTGTTCAGGAGGTTAGGGACACCAAGCGCTTTCAGGAGGCGAGGGATGTCAACGTTGAGGCTGAGACCGATGTCGAGTATAGGGCCGTCTACCAGGTTGGGGTCCAAGAGATCGGGGAGACCGCTGAAGCCAGGTAGGCCCGGAATGCCTGTTGGAACGGTTGGGGTGCCTGGAATCGTGGGGATTCCACTTCCTGGGAGGCTTGGCAGATTACCCAGGCCACCGAGGAGATCAGGAAGACCATTTCCAACATTGCCCAGGCCGCCGAGGAGGTCAGGAAGGCCACCAAGGAGATCAGGAAGACCATTTCCAACATTGCCCAGGCCACCGAGGAGATCAGGAAGACCATTTCCAACATTGCCCAAACCGCCGAGGAGGCCTGGGAGAAGGCCTCCAAGGTCTGGCAGGCCCAAATTAGGTAGAGTGAGATCTGGAGTGTTGCCGAGGACGTTGCCTAAGTCGGGAAGTCCATTGAGACCGCCAGTTAGCCCGCCGAGGACGTTGCTCAAGTCAGGAAGTCCATTGAGACCGCCAGTCAGGCCATCGAGACCACCAAGCAATTGCGAAATGTCGGGAATACCTGAGAGGAGGCTTCCCAGGAACAGTGAGAAGTAGGGCAGCAGGTCACCGAGGTCGGGGATCAGGCTGCCAAGGTCTGGGATGCTGAGGCCGGGGAGAAGACTGCCCAACAAGTTGCTCAAATCAGGAACACCAGGAGTGCCTGGGAGAGTGGGTGTAGTGGGGATTGTTGGGATGCCACCGTTTCCAAGTCCACCAAGAACGTTTCCAAGAAGACTGCTCAAGTCGTCCAAGGGTAGGCCTCCATTCAATCCGTCGAGGATACCGCTCAGATCAGGGAGTGAAAGATCAGGGATTGTGAGGCCACCGAGAAGCTGTCCCAGATCGGGCAGCGTGTTGGGGTTGGCCAGACCTCCCAGAAGCTGGCTGAGATCGGGAATGCCAGGTAGTCCGAGGTCAGGCAGCAGGCTATCGAGACCAGGCAGGCTTAGGTCGGGGATGAGCAGGCCTGAAAGAAGATCACCCAAGTCAGAAAGAATGGAAGGGAGACCGGTTCCGGGCAAGTCTCCAAGTCCACCTCCGAGCAAGTCACCAAGTCCACCTCCAAGCAAGTCACCAAGCCCACCATCGGGCAAGTTCCCAAGCCCTCCGAGAAGGTTGCCGAGCTGGGTCAAATCGTCAAGGCTAGGGACACCTGAGGGGATACCACCCAAGAGACCTGAGAGATCGGGAAGCTGAACGTTGGGAAGCGACAGGTCGCCTAGGAGCTGGTCCAAGTTCGGCAGCAGGTTGGGGACCTGGAGGCCGGACAGAAGAGAAGTCAAGTCGGGAAGACCTGGAAGGCCGAGCAGGGTGGGGAGCAGGGTGCTGAGGTCAGGCAAGCTCAGATCAGGAAGGGTACTGCTCAAGAGGTTTCCAAGATCGGGCAAACTGCCAAGAGCGTTGCCCAGATCTCCAAGATCAGGCAGATTGCCAAGAATGTTGCCCAGCCCTCCTAGGGGGTCCAACGCGTTGCCCAAGTTTCCTAGGGGGTCCAATGCATTGCCGAGACCGAGGAGGCTGCCCAGTGATCCAATGATGTCGGAGGGGTCGGGTGCACCGCCAGCAAGACCGCTCAAGAGACCACTCAGATCAGGCAACTGAAGGTTAGGGAGGCTCAGGCCGCTGAGTAGCTGCCCAAGGTCGGGGGTCAGGTTAGGGCTCAGAAGTGTCGCCAGAAGAGCGCTCAGTTCCGGCGGAGGTCCGAGCGGACCGAGCAAAGCAGAGAGCAGGCTATCAAGAGCAGGCAGGCTTAGATCAGGGAGAATGATGTCTCCGAGATTTGGAATGCTGAGCAGACTTCCGAGGTCGGGGAGACCTCCGAGACCTCCGAGAAGGCCGCTAAGATCAGGCAGGTTGTTCAGGGGATTGTTAGGATCAAGCAAGTCGTCTAATGGGTTGTTGGGGTTGGTTAGATTGCCCAAGAGGCCGCTTAGAATGTCACTAGGATCGGTCAGGTCAGGACCAGTCAGGCCGTTCAGCAAGTCGGCAAGGTCAGGGAGCGTGCTCAATCCGCCAAGCAGACCAGTCAGGTTGGGAAGAGTCAGTGAGGGAAGCAAGGAGTCCAACAGAAGCCCGATATTAGGCAGAGTGCTTGGATCTAGCAGGCTGAAGAGAATACTGCCCAGGTCAGGAAGGCTGGGAATTGTCAGGACACGGAGCAATGAGGTCAGGGCAGGCAGAGCCAGACCAGTCAAGAAGCTGTTGAGGTTCAAGGCGTCGACAAGTCCTGGTAGGCCGAGGCCGCCAAGGCTTCCAAGACCGGATCCCAAACCTCCAAGACCATCACCTAAACCGGAGCCTAATCCACCGAGGCCAGATCCCAGACCGCCCAGACCGGATCCGAGACCTCCAAGACCAAGTCCAAGACCAGATCCCAGATCACCCAAGCCTGAGCCCAAAGCGGCGAGCCCGGGAAGGAGGTAAGCAAAGTTTGGCAGCACCAATCCATTCAAGAGGCCACCAAGGTAAGGAAGTGCAAGATTCGGAAGTGAGAGACCATCGAGGCCTGGAATGCCACCGAGACCAGGGAGACCACCAAGGCCGGGAAGGCCTCCAAGACCGGGGAGACCACCAAGGTCACCTCCAAGACCATCGCCCAGTGCCGGGAGAAGCAAGCTGTACAGGAGAGGACCGAGGCCTTGCAGACCATCAAGGCCGGAAAGACCGTCCATGCCGGGGAGACCGCCCAAGCCGCCCAAGCTGGGGAAGAGGCCGCCTAGGGAGAGAATGGATAGATCAGGGAGGAGCAGGCCAGACAGTTTTCCGTTGAAGTCGAAGCTAATATCGGTGAGACCATTAGGAAGCTTCTCAGTGCCAAGACCAAAGTTCAGGCTGGAGTTTCCGAAGGCAACGCTCCAAGTGAAGTTTCCAGGGGTCGAACCTCCAGTGAGGCCATTCACGCCAGGCAGACCGGGAAGGCCTGAAGAAGAGAATGGGTTGCTGGAACCAGTACCAGTGTTCGGGGGGGTTGTGTTCTCACTGCCAAAGTCGGGGAAGGTAATGTTGCTTTCTGGGGCGGTAGGAACCAGCGTGAAGAGGCTATTGGGGAGGGCGCCAGAACCTTCATCGTAGAGAGCAGTGCTGCCAGTGCCCTCCATACGGAATAAGCAGTTGGCACCGCCCTCGAGGAGGCAGATAATACGAATAGGCAGATATGTACCGCCGATGCCCTTCACAACCGTTGTTGTAGCGGGACCAGCACGCTTACTGAGGCCAGATGGGGAGTTGACAGAAACAATGTTAGCATTGGCACCAGTGAAGTCCGACACAGCATTATCACCAGTCCAGATAAAGACACTACCCTCGGTACCAGGAGTCGAGATGGTAATGTCTCCATCTTCGCAGACGTAGATGAAACCCCTCAAGTGGTAGGCCAAAGGTTGGTCAGCAGGGTTGGGAAGCGTGAGCAAGTCCAAACCAACAGAGGCAGCCACAGGCTCGGCAGCTCCAATCTGGCTGGGGTCCATCTCACTCAGAATCTGGTTGGCCTGGTCTACGACGTACAGGCCTTGCTGGAGACCCTCATCAGCATTTGCATTTACACACTTGGCCGGAGAAGCTGTGGGTATGCCCTCGTCAGGACCATCGGGGCCAACATCGACGCCAGGGTTGGTGCCACTCGGGCCAGGATCGGGACCCTCCGTGAGCAGATCAGGATCGACGGTAGGGTTGGTCCCCGTGTTTCCAGGGCCCGTTCCTGGAGTTGGAGGACTGCCAGTCGGGATGGATGGGGCGACACCTGAGCCAGGAACACCACGGCCAGTAGGCAATAAGGGGTTGGGACCGACACCAGGACCATTAAGACCAGGACCGCTAGGACCAGGACCATTAAGACCAGGACCGCTAGGACCAGGACCATTGGGACCAGGGCCGTTAGAAACAGGACCATTGGGACCAGGACCATTGGGGCCGGGACCATTGGAACCAGGACCAAGGTTGTTGGAGCCATTGGAACCAGGACCGTTAGAAACAGGACCATTGGGACCAGGACCATTGGGACCAGGACCATTGGGGCCGGGAGCATTGGAACCAGGACCAAGGTTGTTGGAGCCATTGGAACCAGGGACATTGAGAGCAAAATCGGGGCCGTTGGGACCTGGGCCATTAGGACCAGGACGGTTGGGGCCATTAGGACCAAGGTTGTTAGGGCCATTGGAACCAGGACCAAGGTTGTTGGGACCATTGGAACCAGGACCAAGGTTGTTAGAACCATTGGAACCAGGGATGTTGAGAGCAAAATTGGGGTCGTTGGGACCTGGACCATTAGGACCAGGACGGTTGGGGCCATTAGGACCAAGGTTGTTAGGGCCATTAGAACCAGGACCAAGGTTGTTAGGACCATTGAAACCAGGGCCAAGGTTGTTAGAACCATTGGAACCAGGACCATTGGAACCAGGACCGTTGGAACCGGGACCGTTGGCACCGTTAGGACCACCACCAGGCAGGACTCCAGCAGGACCAAGACTTGGTCGGGGGCTTGGAGCGACGCCAGGACCGGCGTTGGGTTTCCCACTACCAACATGAATGCCATCATACATGGCGGGGGCAACCTCGTCACCCTCATCGGCGCTGTCATCATCCTTGTCCTCCTTTCCCTTGATGATGTAGATGACAATGGGGCCACGCTCATCGTGGCCGCTTTCGTCTCTCCATGGTGGGAGGGTCACAGCAGGACCATCGACACCGCAAGGAGCAGTCACAGTGGGAACCTCATGTCCGTGGTGCTTGTCAACAAGGACAACAGGAGTGGCGTAGGGGATTGGGTGCCCTCCAGGCCCAGTCGGGACAATGGTCGTGGTGCGGCCGTGAGCCTTACCGGGAACAGTGACATGGGGAAATTTGTCCTCGAACCCAGGAGGACCGCACACAACAACAGGCTTCTCCCCGTGCTTGAATGGAGGAAGGTGAACGTTGGGGCCGCCGGGCTGGGCACCGTGGAGGATGTGGACTTCGGAGTCTCCGAAATCACCGAAGTCCTTGACGTCGCCCCAGTAGTCACCCTTGCGGCCGCCATGTGGAATGGGAGGCTCAGTTGGGTGAGGAGGCTCGCAGATGACTACTGTTCCCTCACAGTCCTTCTTACAGCCCTTGGAGGGACGATGTGTCTCCACGGTCGGGTACTGGATGTGCTCCTTGACGGTGGTCTTAGTCACATAAGGAACATCAGTCGGCTCGTAGTGGACTACGGTCGGAGGGCAGTAGTCGCATGATGGTGGGCGAGTCTCGGTCTTGGGTGGAGGCACCTTGCCCGGCGTCTCACATGCGGGGAGAGTGATGGTGACGGGAGGAAGCTTGACCTCAACGGTAGTTGTCTTGGCGGGGCATTTCTTAAGGCACTCGTTGACATCGACATACTTTGTGACTACTTCTTCAACAGTGACGACGTCGGCCGGCGGACCGGCCTGGACGGGAGCCACGAGCATCGACGCAGCGAGCGTCGCACCCGTGACCCATGCCGAGGCACGGTTGTAGCGAGAGCTCGCCATATTGATCCTCACACAGCCCAGATACCCGTGCTGTCGGAGGTCAGTAGGCAAGGACAAAAACAAAAGAATGAAAAAGCCGTGGCGGTTGACAAGGAGGGAACGGGTCCTCCAGACCAGCCCAAGGCGAACTCCTTATATACACAATGCCTGCAAACATCGACGGCAGAATACCATGCCGTGCCAAACGCGATGGCCGCACGAGTCAAAAATATTACCGATTCAGGGAATCTACCAACCTGGAATTCTCGCTCGTGATCTGAATCAGGAACCCATAACCGCGGCGGGACGTTGAGCTCTCCCACACCCATTCTGGCCGCTCCCGGTTTTCCGCAGCGCTATCGAAGGCGGGCACTCCCTAGAGCGTCCCTCAAGAGGGCAAGATGGTCTGGGCGATTCTCCCTCGGAGACTATTCCTAGGAATAAGACATGTGGAAATTGGGTTTGTTCTTCATCCGTCCCGGAACCTCGAGAACCATCTCCATTGACAAAAGCATTCCAGCAGGCATTGATCCCCTCTTCATCGGAGAATTGTGTTCATTTGAATGAGAAAGAAATCTTGCGTGATTGCCAGTCGGTAGCGATACTCCCTGGCAACGCAATGTGCCACCCCCACAGACCAGCCGTTGGAGAGGCCCAAGTAGATTATCAAGGGCGTTGAGATCCGCTCGGCATAGGTGAACACAATCACAGGAGCGTAAAAACGAAGGGCATCTCAAGGGAAGGTACACTTGAATAAGCGCGGCCAGCTCGGCCCATCAGAAGGGCGCCACATCGAGCCCTTGTCCGGAGGTCTGATCCGCGGATGCAGCGAACTCTCTCGCGAATGCACCTCTTGGCTCCCGTTAGCAGTGTCAATAGGGTGTTTGCAACACTTGGACAACAACATATCAACCCGGCGCATGGACAGATCAATGCAGTTGGCAGGAATGGGCGGCCGGGATGTCTCCGCTAGCAGCATTCAACGTTGTCCATATGGCTCCCCTCACTGATTGCGGTGTCTCACCGTTGACATGCAAGCGCGCGATCGGCCAATGAGAGTTATAACGGTAAGGGTCTCAGGTACACTGTTTCTGATGATCTGAACACGATCTCTGGTCAACGGTGCCCCAGTGTAGCCCAGGGACGTTGGTGCACCGTTTGCCGAGCCCGTAACGCATGCAAGAGGGCATTGGACGAGAGAGGGAGAGCATGGCGGTATCGATAACGCTACCAAGAGGAGCAGATGAAAGCAGTCACTTGTGATCTCAATATCCGAGTTTGATTCCGCTTGTTGTTGATAGCTGGAGTAAGAATTCATGGCAGGACCAGCAAATAGGCAGGAGCTGTCATGATGCCAGTCCACGCAGCACGTGATTTCAATTGACTTCCATCCATCAACACCCAACAGACATCCAGCAGATGACCATCACACAACAAACACTTGGATGAAGTCCATATCATCGCCCTTCCATCCCCACAAATCACATTTCATCCCTATTCATACAATGTCCCGAACGGGAGATACACAGAGCTCTTCCCTCGACTGGATTCAAGCACCAAATATATCCGTGCACCCCCTCCCTTCCCAGGACCCTGTTTGGCCAGCGACAGATCGTCAGTTGATGGAACGGAGGGCCCAAGACATCCGAGCCGAGGACGGTGTATGTTTATCAAAACCCCCTTCCAAAATCCTAGAAAATCAAGACGGCAAAAGGGCAAACACCGAACGCGTCTCGACCGTTTGCCTCCCCTCTCTCCAGACGGGAGAGGGCATAATTTTGTATTGGTTCTAGAACACGGCTCTGCCCACCCGGCATACGTAGTACGGCACCAGATGGGTTCTGCCTCTCCTTGGGCATAATTTCCAGGTCTCCTTTCACCTCCAACGGCAAAAAGAACTAGACGCAGCAAGGGCAAAAAAACATACAACAGCAGGTATTCGCTGGTCGTCACCGACCCAACTACTAATCCGCCCCTCATCCGTTTAACTAGGCGAGAGCGGACGGGATCGCGTGTTTTCGAATGGGTATGGTCGTATGTGGAAGGTGAAGCTATCGTGAGGGCTATATGCCCCACGGCCCACAACGCCAAACAGAAAAAATAACAGCAAAAAAATGGTCAAAAACATACAACAGCGGGTATTCGCTGGTCGTCACCGACCCAACTACTAATCCACCCCTCAGAAGCTTATCTATGGGAGAGCGGACGGGATCCCGAGTTCTCTTCTGGGTATGGTCGTATGTGCTTGATGGTGTGGCGGAACCGCTACAAGACGGCGAGTTCGATTGATTGGCGTGGTGGTTCTCAGTCTCCGGACCCGAACATGCCACATATAACCCGCCTACACTCCCCAATGTCTCGGAAGAAACCACGTAGAGCAAGTGTCGACATAATGCTACTTACCTACCGTTGGGAGACCAGCAACGGCCATCTGGCCGTGATGATAAAGCGCAAGTAAGGACGTCATAATAATAGTCAAACCCACAGATCGCTTTCCCAAACACTCCAGGCTCGTTTGATATTATCCACCGCCGTGGGCTTTGTGTTTCACCCGGGACAATAGCACAATCTAATCATCTCCAGGATCTGCACAGCCGTGGACGCGGCATGTATTCACAACCCCAGGGAGGCGGATCTGCTTGGAATGCGAAGCAAATGAGGGCCACGATAGTATCCATTCTGCTAAACAATTGTGATTGGCAATAGAGCGCAGAAAAGCCAAGCATTGCCAGCTCAGCGGATGCGGTCCCAAGTGGTAGCCAGCGCGAGCCTTCTTTGTGCTTATTACGGTAGTCCGAAGACCCTGGCGGAAAGAGGCTGGACTTTTTTTTACATGCTTCCCTGTTTGCTTTCGGTTCTTGAATGCTCGATTGGCTGTCGTTTCAAGGACCCGGAAACATGGTGCCTGAAAACGTTGGCTCACCGGCCAGGGGATGTTGTACTCATGTATCAACGTCCTACGGAGTGGGATATCTTTCAAAAGCGCATTGGGTTAAAAAATATCTACGATCAGTGACACTCTTGATGATAACAGAGCCTAACTACGGCTCGCAAGAAGACGGAGCTGGTGAAGTGTTCACATCTTACCAAATAAAGCTACCCTAAAGCTATGATCGTGATATCGTTTCCCGTCTCCTGGCCGTGAATTTGATACAATTCGTTCAATGGTTAAGAACTGCGTTGACTACGACTTGATTTTGAAGATTTTAATGTAGTTCTGCCATGATATTAGTTTTTTCAACGGTCATGTCTCGACACGTAGAAAGTCGGCATGCCAGGTTTTGTAGTCGTCCAGGTTCACATGCAATTCATACACAAGCTACACATCCTTAACTCGTCACGAAATACACGGTCACTAGGTATCAATTTCGAATGAGATGCTTCAACTTTGGCCAGAAGATTGTACTATACAAACTAATCTGATCCATCCACGAAATACAAGGTGCCTAGATAGGCTACTCTCTTGCATCTCTCCACGAGACTCTACCTAATCTCTATATACTCTCCCAAGCCAGACCACAAAAAGTTGATGGCCCGGCCACTACTACTCCCTCCTCTACTCCTGCTCCATGCCAAGCTCAAATGACGATGCCAATTAGAAACTGTATTATCTGAGGGGGGCACGGGGAGCCTCCCCACCCCCAACATGAGCTAGGAAAAAAAGCGCAACATTGAAGTTGATTAAAATAAAATACCCTCTTTATGCTAATTTCGGCCGTTTTCTCATTCAATCATCCCCCCTTGCTGGGCAAAACTGCCCCCCAAACCATGTGTGTAGACTTGGGGGAGAAGCGCCAAAGGGAAAGGGGAATGCTTGCGTGTCTATGTATGTCACACTCAAAAAAGGTAATTTAGAAGCGGTGCTGGCGACCGACACTCTCGACGCGGACGCCGAGCTTGGTCATCTCGCGCGAGTCGATGACGCCGCGGCCGTCAAACACCCAGCGCGGCTTGGCCATGGTGTCGGCGATGCGGACCCAGTCGAGGCGCTCCCTGGCCTTGTACTCCTGGGAGCTGCCCATGCCGGTGGCGAAGCCGGTCTCCTTGCTGGCGGCCTGCTGGAGGCAGTCCGGGCAGTCCTCGGGGCACGCGGGCTCGGGGTTGTAGCGGCCCAAGGGGTCGTCCGAGGTCTCGCCGTCGCGCTGGAGGAGGTGCTTGTGCAGGGCGAGGACGTCGTTGGCGGAGGGCTCGGGGCGCTCGAAGGGCCGGGGGTCGGCCTTGGGGTTGGGCTTGCGGCCGATCATCTTGACGGTGTGGTCGGGAGCGGGGACGGCGGGCTTGGGGGGAGGCTGGTTGCGGAACTCGTCGAACTCGGTAGCGATGACGACGGCAGTGCTCTTGTCGCAGGCGTCGTAGGCGTTGCCGTAGACGACGATGTTCTTGAGCTCGTCGACGTCGCCGAGGAGCTGCCTGATCTCCTCCTTGATGACGAGGGGGTTGCAGCAGGGGTCGAAGATGGCGATCTCGCGGGGACGCTCTTCGAGGAGGGTCTTGACCATCTCCAGGGCGGGGGCCTCGCGGGTGTCGGATGTGTTCTTCTTAAAGGCGTAGCCGAGGATGGTCACCTTCTTGCCGACTAGGGTGTTGTTCAGGCACTTGATGACTCGGTTGGTGAAGCGGTCGCGAGCGTACTCGTTCATCTTGACGACCTGGCGCCAGTACTCACCGACCTCGGGAAGGCCCATAGTGTCGGCCAGGTAGACGAGGTTCAGGACGTCCTTCTTGAAGCAGCTGCCACCGAAACCAATACCGGCGACAAGGAACTTGTTACCGATACGAGGGTCGACACCAACAGCCTTGGCCACCTCGTCGACATCAGCACCAGTCTGCTCGCACACAGCGGAGATGGAGTTGATGCTGGAGATGCGCTGGGCCAGCATGGAGTTGGCGACCAGCTTGGCCAGCTCAGACGACCAGACGTTGGTCGTCAGGATGCGGTCGCGGGGGACCCAAGCATTGTATACGTTGACGAGAGCCTCGGCGGCCTTCTTTCCCGAGGGGGTGGGAGCAGAACCGATCAG